GTCTCCTCCGAGCAGGGCCGCCCACGGCGCCGCCAACGGCGCCGCCGCCGGCGCCGCCCCAGGCAGTCCGGCGGGCCTGGCGGCCCTGGGGCCGCCAGCGGCGCTGGCCGGCGCGGCCCTGTTGGCCGCCCGGCGCCGGCTCGGGCGGCGGCGAGAGGCTGATGGGCTTGTTTTGCATTGCCACTACCATAAGTTGGCGGGGGGAGGGGGTCCTCCTCCTCCTCCGCCGCCTCCTCCTCCTCCGCCTCCTCCTCCTTCCTCCTCTCCTCCTCCTCTTCCTCCTCCTCCTCCTCCCCCTCCTTCTCTTCCTCCTCCTCCTCTCCACCTCCTTCTCCTCCCCTCTAACTTATAGTAGTGGTAGTGGAAAACAGGCCCATCAGAGGCGGTGGCCCATCGTGGGGCGGGCCGCGTGGTGCGCTGGGCGACGGCGCGCGGAGGGGACGAGGCCAGGGAAACGAAGAATGGCATAAACGCATAAACATAAAAGCTCGGAGGTCCGCTCGGATTTCTCGGATCGGCGCTGGAGCCCCCTGGCGGCGCCCCCGGCGCCGCCCCTGGCGCGCTCCGCGCGCCAGGGAGGGGGGTCCAGCGCCGATCCGAGAAATCCGCGCGGACCTCCGATTTCTTATGTATGTCAGTGTTTGTTTCCCTTGAGGCGTCCACGAAGCTCCTGGTCTGGGCCCGCGAGGATCGGGGGTACGTAAGACTCGAGAAACCGCCGGGACTCGGGTTGGCTGGCGCCTTTTGGCGAGAGCGTCCTGCGTTTTTTGGCGGTCCAGTTTTCGTGGGATGTCTGCAGCGGGAGCTCGCATCAAGTTTTCAGACTGACTCTTGTCATTTTCATGATGGCCCCGTCAGGCCAACCTGAGTCCCCGGAACCCGAGTCTTACGTCTCCCCGAGAGGCAGGGGCCGAGATCTCCCCCAAGCTGACCTTCGTGCCGACTGAGGGCGCCCGCGGGCCTCGCAAGGTCGTCTGCACCTCCGACATCGAGGAGGGCGAGGCGTCGGGGAACAAAGAATGGAATACACATTAACTTTCGGAGGTCCCCGCGGATTTCTCGGGTCGGCGCTGGACCCCCCCTCCCTGGCGCGCTCCGCGCGCCAGGGGCGGCGCCGGAGGCGCCGCCAGAGGGCTCCTGCGCCGATCCGAGAAATCCGCGCGGACCTCTGACAGTTTCTGGTAGTGCCATTTTTTTATTGCCCGAGAGGTGCTGGTGAGGATCCCCGCGCCGCTGACCCTCTCGGTGGACATGTCGCCCGACTCCAGGCCGCCAGACGGGATGGAGGAGCTTGCCGGCTGGTGGGGCGAGCACCAGCGCGCCACAATACGCCTGGCGGCGGTGCTCGTGTGGCAGCGGGAGAGGTTCCGGCCCTACATAGATATGCTGCCTGCGCTCGAGCAGATCCAGGCGCCCTGGCTGTGGGACGATGACACCCTGGAGTTCATACCCACGGCCTTGGCAAATAAGGCGAAAGCGCGCCGGGTCGCGATGGAGTCGGCCTGGAACGACCTCGTGTATGAAGGCCTCGACGAGAAGATACCCCGCGATTTATCGAAGACGCCACTGGCGGATCGCCGCCGCCTCCTGCCGTTTTGGAAACGCCTATCTGGCCAAACGTTGGGTTAAGGTCTGGCCAATCTTTAGGATTTTGTGTTTCCCCCGCCGTTGTGGAAAACCTTTGGGGAATTCCTGGGGGAGGAATGGGGGAGGAGGAGGAGGAAAGGGAGGATAAGGAGCATGAGAAGAAGTAGGATGGAGGAGGGACCTTTGGGTCATCTGGGGCCGTTTGGGTGGGGTCGTTTTGTGCCATCCAGTCTGTCGAGGAGGGCATCTTGGACCATCTTGGAGCCCACGTAAGGCCATCTTGGCCGACTTGGAGGCCGTTTTGGGCCGTCTTGGGATCTTCCTGGGCCGTCTTGGGGCTTCCTTGCGGGCCTCGTGGGCCATCTTCGGTGCTTGGTCGCCTCGAACACGGGTGAGCCCGAAAAGGCGAGAATGCTTGAGTCCTTGGCCTCTTCGGAGCCTCCTGAAGGCTCTCTCGGGCGGCTCTCGAGGCGCCTTGGGATCCTTCTGGGCCGTCTTGGGTAATCTTGGGGCCATCTTGGGCCCTCTTGGGGCCATCTCGGCTGTCTTGGAGGCGTCTTGGAGGCCATCTTTTGCCATCTTGGCCATCTCAGGAGCCCTCAGCCATCTCGGGCAGAAAGTCGTTGGAAGATACCTTCGTCGGATGGCCGGTGGGACGTGCCGAAGGTCATTTGGGATCTTTTTAGAAGGGCGAAGCAGAGCTCAAAGGCTTAGCACGCCAAGCACTCTTGTGGCAAGTCAAGCGCTCATGGGGCGGCGGATCGAGGACGCCTACGGCGAACCACAGCCGCCCCGTGCTTCTCTGGACGTTGTGAACAAACGTTGGACCAAAGCTTGGCCAAGCAATTGGACTATGTGTTCCCCCAGCCGTTATGGAAAGCCTTTGGCGAGCCCTTAAGTAAGAGAGGATGATGATGTTGATGCTGCTGATGATAATGATGGTGGTGGTGGTGATGATGGTGATGATGCTGACGATGACGATCACTATGAGGATGCTGATGATGATGCTGCTGATGACTATGCTGATTCTGATTATGATAATGATAATAGTGCTGCTGCTGATGATGTTGATGATTATCATGATGATGGTGCTGCTGCTGATGACGATGCTGATGATAATGATAATGCTGATGCTGATGCTGATGCTGATGTTGCTACTGCTTATGCTGATGCTGATGATGATGCTGATGATGCGGAGGATACTGCTGATGATGCTGATGACGATGGTGATGGTGATGGTGATGATGCTGATGATGCTGATGATGCTTATGATGACGATGACGGTGACGATGATGATGATGATGATGATGATGATGATGATGATGATGATGATGATGATGACGGTGGCGTTGATGATGCTGATGATGCTGATGTTGCCGATGATGCTGATGATGCTGATGATGATGCAGATGATGATGCAGATGATGAGTATGACGATGACGATGATGCTGATGATGATGATGCTGATGATGATGATGATTGTGATGCCGCTGATGATGCTGGTGATGTTGACGATGCAGTTGTTGATTGTTGATGCTGGTGGCGGTGCTGCTGCTGATGGTGCTGCTGATGGTGCTGATGATACGGATACTGACAATGATAATGCTGCTGCTGCTGATGATGATGATGATGATGCTGATGATGACGATGATGATGCTGATGATGATGCTGCTGCTGCTGATGCTGATGATGCTGATGATGATGCTGCTGATGATGCTGCTGCTGATGATGATGATGATGATGCTGATGCTGATGCTGATGCTGATGATGATGATGCTGATGATGATGATGATGATGAGGAGGAGGAGGAGGAGGAGGAGGAGGAGGAGGAGGAGGAGGAGGAGGAGGAGGAGGCGGAGGCAGAGGCGGAGGAGGAGGAGGAGGAGGAGGAGGAGGAGGAGGAGGAGGAGGAGGAGGAAGAGGCTTGAGGACTTCTGGGTCTTCCAAGGGGCCTCTTGGCCTTCGGAGGTCGTCTTGGGGGCCTCTGGCCCGTTGTGGGGCCCTCGTTGGGTGCTTTAGGGCCGTCTTGGAGATCCGTGGGGCCGTCTTGGGCCCTTCTTTGGGGCCGTCATCGGGGCCTCTTGGGCCGTCTTGGGGCTTTCTTGGGCGTCTTGGGGCTGTTTTTGTGGGCTCTGAGGCCGTCTTGGAGCCGTCTTGGGGCTATCTTGTGGGTCTCTGGGGCCGTCTTCGGTCGTCGGAAGACTAAAACAGCGAGAACGCGAATCATTATTTAAACTCCTACGAGAAACACTAGTTTTGGCCTCCTGCAGGTCCTCTTGGAGCCCTCTTGGGGCGTCTTGACGGCCTCGCAGGCTGGTGGCTGGAAGGTATCGTGGGCCGTCTTTAATTCACCTTCGGCCGTCTTTGTGGCATCTCGGGCTCTCCTGGGCCATCCTAGCCGAGGGCCGTCTTGTTGTGATTTTGGGCCATCTTGGGGGCACTTCTTGGTCATCCTGGGCCCTCTTGAGCTCATCTTGGCCGTCCTGGAGGCGTCCAGGATGCCATGTTTGGAGAGAGCGCCAGTGGATGCCCCTCTAATTGTAAGTCGGGCATGTCCCTGTACAGGAAGAGTATTCAAAATAGTATAACAATAGTCTAGGGACCATTTTTCGATTTAGTTTTGACTAAATTTGAGTTTTTTTGTTGTTTTTTGTGACTATTTTTGATGTTTCTTAGAAAATCCGCCTGTAGGAGGACATGCCCGACCTAACTCTAATTGAAAAGGCTGTGCGTGCTCGCACAACCCCCCTCTCTTCAAGTCGTCGTTCTCTTATTCATTGTTTTGCCGATCGGCGCGGGCCCTCGCACCCCCCCTCCCCCCCCATGGAGTAGATTTTTGGCTGCTTCTGGCGCCTGTTTCGAGCAGGTGGAGCCTCCCCCATGGGACGCACGGTTGCAAACAGTCGCATGAAGCAGAGGGTTGGAGCCAAACCCCCCCCTCCCCCTCCGTCCAATGTCGAAACGCCGAATAAGAAAACGCTCACCAAAGCGGGGGGGGGGGGATTTTCGGACCCCCCACCCCCGTGCAAAGAGGGGGCCTGGGGTTTTGGGAGCCCCCCCCCTGCGCCGGACAGGTGGGAGGGACTACGGACCCCCCCTTCCCCCCTCTTGGCGCCTGAGAGGGTTCGGAGGGGGGAACCTTTCTGTAAGTTAGGCCAGCGGATCGTGAGCGGCATAGATTTCTATCGTGGAAGGTTTACACCGGCGGTGTGCAGAAAAGCATGTGATTTGCATCGGATCGTGAATGTTGAAGGCTTGGGAAGGCGATGTTGAGATCAGCAGGTGTGCATCGCATATTTCAGCAAATCATCATGGGCGGCACAGGTTTCCGTCGTGCAAGTTTTAGGTCGGGGGTGTGCAGAAAAGCATTTTATTTGCATAGGATCGTGAAGGTTGAGGTCTTCAAAAGGCGATGTTGAGATCATCAGATGTGCGATCGTGATGTGGAGGAAACCATGCTATTTTAATGCAATCATGAGGGCTGAGGGCCTCAGGAGGCGAGGTTCAGATCAGGAGATGTGCGCCGCATGGTATTCTTCCCAAGCCCTCCTGCGTTGGGTTATCGTTTTGCTTACAGCACCTCGGTCGCGACCTCCTCCTCCCCCCCCTCCTCCTGTCCCCTCCTACCTGCCTGCTACCCTGCCTTCTACCTCGCCGTCCTGCCTGCGGGCTTGCTGGGCGGCTGCGAACTGCGAAACTGTCGCCACGTTCGAGGTCTGCTGGGGGGTCCAGCGGAGTGACGCCTTTCGCAGACCTACGTTCGACCTCGCCATCCCTGGGGGGCTGCGAATTGCGCAACCGTCGCCACGTTTGAAGGCTGCTGGGGGTCCAGCGGAGTGGCGCCTTCTGCAGACCTACGTTCGACCTCGCCATCTTTCGGGGGCTTCGGACTTTGCAACCGTCGACGCTTTCGAGGGCTGCCGGAGGGTCCAGCGGAGCAGCGCCTCACGCAGACCTAATTAGATTCGACTTCGCCTGACGCAGACCTAGACTGTTGGATACGTAATGCTTTGCAATTTACAGTTGCCACATGTTTGATCTATCATCGCCGTCATCTTCTTCATCACATGTTTGATTCATGCAGTTGTCACATGTTTAATTTGTCATCTTGGCTCGGCGTTTGGTCGTGGCCTCTCGCCTTCGGCGTTTGGCCGAGCCTTCTCGCCCTCGGCGTTTGGTTGAGCCGTCTCGCCTCCAGCGTTTGGTCGAACCCTTTCGCCCTCGGCGTTAGGTCGAGCATTCTCGCCCTGTTGATGCGCCGTGCAGGCGCCTGGCACACCTGACCTGACCATCCCTGGGTGGTGGTGGCTGCGAGCTGCTAAACTGTCGCCACGTTCGTTGGGTGCTAGTCCAGCGGAGTGACGCCTTACGCAAATCTAGACTGAAACTCGCCATCCCTGGGGGCTGTGAACTGCACAGCTGTCGCCGCTTTCGAGGGCTGCTGGGGGGTTCAGCGGAGTGACGCCTCACGCAGATTCAGATTAGACCTCGCCATCCGTGTGGGGGCTGCGAATTGCGAAGCCGTTGACACTTTCGAGGTCCAGCGGAGTGACGCCTTACGCAAAGGGGGGGCAGCGAATTGCGGAACTGTTGATACTTTTGAGGGCTGCTGGGGGGGCAGCGAACAGCGAATCTGTCGCCATGTTCGAGGGCTGTTGGGGGGTCCAGCGGAGTGACGCCTTTCGCAGATCCAGATTCGACCTCGCCGTCCTTGAGGGATTGCGAACTGCGAAACTGTCGCCACTTTCGAGGGCTGCCGGGGGGTCAGCGGAGTGACGCCTTACGCAGACCTATATTCGACCTCGCCATTCGTGGAGGGGTTGCGACTTGCGCAACCGTAGCCACGTTCGAGGGCTGCTGGGGGGTCCACCGGAGTGACGCCTTATGCATGCCCACATTCGACCTCGCCATCCCTAGGGGGCTGCGAATTGCACAACCGTCGGCATTTTCTAAGGCTGC